TTAACAAAATCTACCAACCTTTGTTGAGCTAAAAATTAATAAAATTTATGTCAATTTTTTACATGATCAATGTGATTTAACCTATTATAGGAGGTTAGTTACTCGCCGGTCTCATTTCATGTGATGTGCTTTGACCGGGCATATAGAAATAAAAAAAAAGGACTTTTGATCATCTCGGGACAAAATTATAGTCTAAAACAAACTTTTGCATTTCTGTAAATCATCTAGGGACAAAATAAAAAATTTAAAGTTAAATTATTTCAAAATATAAAAATATATCATTTCTGGAACAGACTAAAAAGGAAAGTGCATCAAATAAATTGGGAGAGAGGGAGAGAGTACTATTTATCATGTGCACCTATTCATGCTTATCATAGAATTTTAAATGTAATTAATTACCTTATAAGTGACATGTATATTTTTTAATTGCCGGTGCACAAATTTAATTTTAAGCTCATAACAAAACTAATGGATAATCCGTGAGGACTGTGACTATATTTTTATATCCGTTTTAAGGTTGCTAACTCCATAAAATTGTTAGCTTTAATTAGTGCCTTATATTCATATATTATCATATATAATAAAACAGATTGATGAGATCTTTATTCAACTAAACTTTTCAGGTTGCATTAATGAGTACTTTAACGATAAGGAGGAACAAGAAAAAGCTAGAGAAAATTCAATGGAAATGGGGGATCCCATTTACAATGGCTACAAGGCAGTTTTAGATTCCAAATCATCTGATGAAACTTTGGTAAGTACCTGAATTATCTCATGAAAATGTTCACTATTTGAGACAGTTATTAGCAATTGAATTATAAAATTTAATGCTCCTATCAAGATAACGAGTATTTAATTAAGTAGAAAAAATCTGAATGGATCAGGCACTATATGCAAGTTGGGAGCCAAGATATTTAAGACGTTGTTCGGGGTTACCGTGGCAGAAATATGATAAATTGGGGACTGTTCTTCGCCATTTTGGATACACAGTAGTGGCTTTACATGGATGCCTGCAAACTGAAATTAAGGTAATGCTCCTCAGACCTCAGTCCTCCCATAACCTTAACATTTTTTCCTTATCTTTCTTTTCTCTGTTTCTTTCCTCCTCCTTTCTTTTTTTTAATTTTTTAATTTTAGTAAAGGGTCCTTTTCTAGAAGGTCATAGAGTGTAGGCAGACCCTACTTCATGTGTCCGATAGACCTTCGGCTCGAGAAAAACATCTCATTGGTAGTTTTATGTTGGCTTTCCTTTTTAACGGGTTTGCACTACGTTAATGTTAGCACTGTCTTGACGCATGGATCATCAGCAAATTTTATATAAGTGGAAAGTAGACCATAGATTACGTTTGGTGGTTACTGAAATAGGGTATAGAGAGTGTACACCTTCTCCATTTAAAGACTGTTGGGTATCCTTTCGCTAGTACTATCACAAGAAAGTTACCATGCATTTTCAGTAGTCTATCTACATTTTGTGCTCACTAAGTCAACAAGAGCACCATGTGATGCCTAAGTTTTGTGCTCACTAAGTCAACAAGAGCAATATGTGATGCTTCTTGTCTAAAAAGGCTAAAAACACACTAGTCAAATATACATTAAATACAGAATATTTGATGCAATAAGTTGTTTTCTAGATTTTAAAAATCCAATATCATTTTATTTTATCTCAATCTGATTGGGATCGAAAAGATAGATTTACTTTTGAGTGGGATCACACAAGTGATCATATTGTTTCCGCTACATCGTGGCCACAAGTGTGCCTCAAATAGATAGTATATCAAACGTATTAGATCTGTAGATTAAATGATCTCTAATGTGATTAAAAGTTTTAGCCAGTTTTTACTTTCTCAAAGTGTGTCTTGAATTGTTTTTGTAGACTCCACGATCAGTTCGTGTACTGTTCAAAGATCCATTCAATCGACTTGCCAAAGAAGTGACAAAGGCACTAAAGGAACTAGGCGATAGCATAAGAAATCGTCGTCAATGCAATCCAGAAATCCTATCCAACCATCTCAATGAAGCCTTACAAGACCTCATCAGTGCCTTAAAATCCCAACCAAGACTCTTTCTTGGAACTAATAGTAATATAAACATATTAGCCTTAGCAGGCGCAATATCCTCTAGGCAAAAATCTAGTAAAGATTTTGTAGTCTCTTTATCGAGTGTAAATAATAATATTGACACATCCAATGAAGGTCCTGCTCGTCTTGGACTTGGCCATGACTTTTTGGCAGGTCAGGCTCATGCGACTACACCAGCATTATCGAAAGATACGTCTAAAAAGGACTCTGAACTACAATTGAAAGAGGCTGGTGGCAGAAAGAGTTTAAGATCCACATTAAGCAAGATTGGAATTACTAGCCTCGAATTTTTGGAGGCCTTACCATTTGCAGCTTTTGGTTCTTTGCTAGTTGAAACAGTTGCACGACTTGATCTTGTTATTGAAGAAATTGTAGAATTGGGAAGGGCAGCTCATTTCAAGGAATATATTCGTGATGGTGATCATGTGGTTGTGACCTGTGATCAGAATCCTAGATTGGAAGATGAGATTGTTAGCAGATTACAAAACCAATTTCCCTCCTCCCATGCAGCAGATTAACACTAGACTTTAGTAGTTGAGCTGGTTGATAGACAAACTATAGAGAAAAAAAGAAGGTTTTCCTGGCGGATAAATTTTCTTTAGTGAGAATATTATACATTTAATTATTTGAAATTATATATGTACTTCATCTTGTTGATAATTTTATACACGCAGTTTAACATAAAATTATACATATTAGCTGCCTTGTGAATGTTCTATCAAAGGTAGGTAATTGAGCATATAAGCAATGAGTGCACGTGTATCTACTACCTTAAACTCAAGCTCTGCATACAAACATCTATGAATAAAATTTAAAAAATATGTAATCTATATAAATTCTATACTCGTCTCTGCCTTCATTCGACAACGAAGTATCACGTAAAAGAGGTACTATATAAAAGGTCTTTTGGCACTATTGCAACACGAGATTTGTAGTTTGTCGCTTTGACAACAAAAAGAGGATCATAATGGAGAAGCCAAAACATTAAAGAAGAGAAAGAAAATAAAGTACAGATGCGCTTTACTAATATTGACTATATACTGAACATTGACGATGAAAATCCTAATTTCCTAATCTTCCACAGGAATTCTGACAAAAAGAAAAGAAAATGAAGGATGAATAAAGTACCTGGGTGAGCTTTAAAAATATAAGACAGCGAAAGAGGGCCCTACCGGGTTCGAACCGGTGACCTCTTGATCTGCAGTCAAATGCTCTACCACTGAGCTAAGGACCCTTGTTATGGCTTCCAATTAAAATAACCAAATTAAATATGATTTCAAATTCACATAAAAATATGAGAACAGAAAAAATTTCATTTAAAATATCAAAGAATTAAGTAAAGACATCTTAAATTATTAGTTCACTTGCAGAAAGCAAAAAGTGAATAGATCGTCAATATGGGCTGGGGCCAAGCCCAATCCAACCCGTAATTTAAGGGTTATAATTTTTGGAGCCCATTTAAAAACGAGGCTTTTAATCCCGGCCCGAGTAAGCCCGTGAGACTTGACTGAGGCCGAGATGGGCCAACCAGTAGGCCTAATAAAAATACTTATTTAAAGTATATAAAATGTATACTGTCTCTAGCGATGGAAAGTTAGAATTGAATCTTTACTTAGAAGAACCAAAGCTTGGTCTTGAGAAGTTTCAAGAGATGTATTGGAAGGACCATTCTAGAAAATATTCCTATCTTTCGGTGATAGCGCGTGATGTACTTAGTATTCTTATTACCACTGTAGCATCAGAACCAACATTTAGTATTGGTGGGCGTGTTCTCACAAAGTACAGAAGTTGCATCCATCATGAAAATGTCCAAACACTTTTTACTACTCGAAATTGGCTGCACGAATTTTTTCAAACCCAAACTGGTAATTTTTTTATGTGAATTTGAATATTATTAATTTTTAAAATTTTATTATTCTTAATATTTAACTAATTAATATTGCATATGAATTGTAGATGTACATGAAAGTGAAAATGTTAAGACAACCTTGTGACAAACGGATTAAAATGTGTTTGATGAAGATGATGTATTGGATATACTATAAGTGTCATGGAAGTTGTGTTGAATAGTTTGTTTTGAATTTTGACTTTTAGTGAATGAAATATATTCTTGTCTTTTATTTTTTTTAGTGTTTATTGTGATATATTGGAACAATATAAAAAGTTATTAAGTTTTGCGAAATATTTCCAATAAGATATTTTTTAACTTTTAAATATTTATCTTTTCTTAGGTTAGAACTTAAAAGAAAAAATATAAATTATATTTTAAAAAATAATGGGTCGGCCCATGGGGGCCCGCAGCCCATATAGGACTGGGTGGGCTGGTCATTATAAGGCCTATCAAAATGATGGATTAGCCCAGTCCATTAATTGTTAAAGCCCACGTAAGCTGGGCTAACCCGGCGCGACCCATATTGAGAGATCTAAAAATGAAGGATAAGTTGTGAGAGAATGGATATAATGAGTAGTATTTAATTATAGATAATCTAATTACGGATTACAGTGCTCAAAACATTCATATATATGTTTTCTGTAGAATCATCGGGCACCTTTCTTTTCTTAATCACCGCAAATGAAATTATCTAATTGCCAACTTTCTTTTCTCGTACATATCGATTCTATGTTACGACATAGTATTAAACTACATTATTATCACATATTATATATTCTTTGTTTTAATTTAGATGAGCTAGTTTGACTCGACACGGAGTTTAAAAAAAAAAAACTTTTGAAATTTGTGGTAAGTTTTGTAGGGCCATAACATTTTTGTGGTTATAAAAATTTTTTATTAAGGATAAAATGGGTAAAACAAAGAGTTTAAAGTTAAATTATTTTTAAATTTGAAACGGAAGGAGCACAAAATATAAAAAAAATTCTATGTTCAATGTAATATAAGATAAATCCTAATTCCTAAATAGCTTAGAGGACAAAAGTTTCAAATTTCTTATAGATGGCTCCCCATGTAAAACGGATAAGGTTTTGTATGAAGAGAAAGCGCCAAATAGAAGTGAGCGAAGGAGAGTACTCAATCTGCATCAGCCATCTTCAAATGACTTGCTTCGTAGCAATACTAAATTCAATTCCCAGTCCTTTTTGTAAATGTTCTCCGCGGAGTTTATTTAACTGGGATTTTGGTAATAAAAAGACTGATGATAAGCCACAAGTTAGATACCATAATCTTGATCTTCCTTTCTCTCCTTCCCTTGTCAGCAAAACATTCTTAAAAGGTATTTCTTTCATTCTTTCTCCATATAATTCATATAAAGAATTCTAAAAAGAAATGAGAAGAAAACCTTAGTTGAACTGAAGATCCAAGAATTTAGAGACTGTAGATTCTGACAAGTGTTCATGTATATATTCTTTATTTTTTGTTTACAAGAACAAACCTAGTGTAATTGAACAAGTGGGGTTTAGTGTAATTACTCATGTGGGTGTTGGGAGGGTAGTGCGTACACGTAGCTTACCCCTACCTTGTTTGCAGAGGCGTAACTATGCTATAAGTAGAGGGGTCACGGCACCCGTAGAATTCAGCAAAAATTCTATATGTACATGTATATGTCATTAGAAAATAATGATATATTAGTAGTGGACATACAAAGAAAAATTTTGGTTGAATCAAAAAGTGCACCCATATCCTTCAATTCCTGGATCTGCCTATGCTTATTAAGGATATTCTTTATTTTTTGTTTCTCTGATGATAATTACACAGGAAGGGAACTGAAGTGCTGCTATAAGGCATCAGTGGATGGATTTAGTGCAACTGAATTTCACAACAACAGTGATTTTAAAGGACCATGTGTGATTATTGGCTATACAACAAAGGACTTTAAGTTTGGAGCATTTAATCCAGAAGGCTACAGAAGTACAGATGATTATTATGACACTTTTGATGCATTTCTCTTTTACTGGGCTGAAGATGAACAACAACCAATAATCTTGCCTAAAGTAGGGGGAAGTGGTGCTGCTCTTTTTGATTATGCTAGAGGTGGGCCACAGTTTGGTGCTGATGGATTGCTAATTGGACCCCCATTAGCTCCTGTCATGGGCGGATTTGCAGGACCTGATACTAATTCTGGGATTGGTGATTTAAGGCAAGCTAAGTCAAGATTGGGACTTTCTTATGCTAAAAGGCCAGATGGTAAAGAGTCATTGTTTGGAGATGAATCTAAGGCTGAACTTGATGAAGTTCTTGTATTTTGTAGTCCTCAAATTGCTAGCTTATATTGACTCAATTTTTGCAAAAACGGATGCCATAGCCTTTGGGGAAATCACTCTCAGTGATCATGAGGTGAGTAAATAAAATATGTATTAGTACTATACTAGGTTTTAAAATGTAGCAGTGTAAATTTTACTTCTTTTTTTTTATAGAAATGGGCTGCAACAGGATTTTTATTCTGTGTTTCTTATTTAATTTATTAGCTTTCTCAAGTTATTCACCAAGACCATCAGTGATTGCCTAATGAGTCAAACATGTTAGTGCCATTATTTACATCTGGTACATTTATATTTTCAATAATATATATACATAAATATTACTTAATTTTTTTTTTTTTGACAAAGGGTGTTCGGGCGGTGCTATGTGTTATTCACCCCTGCTGCGAGCTAGCAGCTACAGTCAATAGCTAGTTTGGAGAGAGTATACTTTCTTGGCTTGCTAAGTATCTAGTTTACTAATGGTGGAGATGTTTCCCATTACCTGTAACTAATGATATTGCCACCTGCATGTCAGCATTTCTCAATAAGCCAAAGTGGAGCATTACTTTAAAGCACAGGCCAAGAGGAGTACATGAAAGGAAAAGCATAGATAAGTCCATAGGTTTTATTGTAGGATTATTTGCTAAGTGATTAAGGGGCCACACATTTCTTCGATTCCTCTCTAGTTAGCTACCTATGGTCTTATGGCTGAACTAATAGTGGGTAGGAAAGAGGAATGGTTGATCATTTAGTGTACTTGTCTTTCTTTCTCTTTTTGAGTTAATGGTTGATACCGTCCAGCATCAGATATGTCCAAGGCAAGAAATAATAACTCTTTGTTCTTGATAATTTTGTGAACTACTGTTAGTGACCGTAATCTTTGAAACTGTCAGGAGCACACGGTGAATATGACTGAAATGTTTTACCATTCACTCTTTTAGTCAAAGAAAGGTTGCATCAAATTGATTTGTTTGAAGTTAGAAATCTAGAGAGAGCAAAGAAATGGTGATTCTTCTATCAAGTTTCATAACACCCTGAAGGTGTTATAGACACATCTGGTGTGGAAATAGGCCTTCAATTTCCAAGTATATGGGCGACTGCTCGTTACCTCTTCATTTGCATTTGTTATCTTACTAGGTTTTGAACCAAAAGATTCTTTTGGATGTGTGCTTTGCCTAATGTCATCTAAATGGAAATTAAATTGTCAATGATTATCAAATGATGTCAGATACAGCATTCTGAATCATTTTCGTAAGAGATTGAGAAAGAATTAAAGCCCTTAATCATGTAATTGAACTTAGAATGCTGTGCCTATGAAAATGATGCTTGAAAGCTCAATCCTTTTGCTAACTTACTTTTTTATATCCTTTGCTTGTGAGTTACTTTAATGTTCCCTCTTTGGATACTAAAAGCAATGTTCTTTCTGATCATTTGCTACAGTTTGTTTTGATCATGAATACTTGGAACTATCAGAATCACATCAGTTGATGTCAAACAAACGTTCAAATTAGTGACTTGAAACATTTGAGTCTAAATTTGCTTCTCATCCATATACCTATGAGTACAAGTGAAGCTAGGTTTATACATAAATAGTTATTGGGAAGCTATCAAGTCCATAATCAAACTAGAATAGCAAGTTGTGCATATGAACCTCAGGGTGCATTTGACTTAGTTATCCAGTTATAAACAGGGCACCCCACTATTTTAGAACTTCAAACAATGTTTTCTTTTAAGAAAAATCTTGGTCACGTGTAGAAACAGTTCAAAAATCTTGTATAATGCAAACAATAGTTGCTGAATAGAGGAATCAATAATTGGTAAATAGGAAGCTCTGCTGATGAACAGCAGCCCTGTAATAAGTTAATACAAGTACATATTTAACTTTGTGGAGCTGCTTTTGCATTTCTGGTACTAGAAAATTCTGAAAATTGGAATATTTAGAGTGGGCAAAGCCATTAAATTCATATGGTCTAAGGCATTTTTGGCTCCATTCTGATTGATAACTGGATGTTTGAACTGCGAAAAAAAGCTTCATCCATATTGTTTACACATATTTTGGCTCAGTTTTGGTGCTTGATAACAATTTCATACATGGAAATGATCAGAAGTGGAAAGGGGCTTCTATTTAAGAAGCTTACTTTAACAGAAGTTCATCTACTAACTTGACTATATCCCAATGGGATCGTTAAAATTGATCATCACTGGGTATCTCAGACTGCAATGACAAAATATAAACACATGGAGCTGCATCGAGCTTTTCTTGATATATTCTTACATTAGACTACTTAAAATATCTTCCTGTGACCATACACCATTATGTTTTTCCAATATCCCATTTTCACTACTCTGTCTGCATATTGGAGCTTGATTTCAAGTTTAACTCCCTGCATTAAAGAGAGAAAATCCTACACCTACTTCGCCCCAATGTTCATCAGAGGAGATCTGGATTTCCGAATAAGTTGTTCTGGTTATAACCTTTGTACGAAATATCCTCATTGCGATAGAATTCCATGTAGTTTCCATCATCTGAGAAGGGAGGTGCAAAGCCATAGCCACTGAGATCACCAGAAAGTTCAACTTCCCCTCTAAAATTCGGAAAAGATGAACTTGATGTGAAGTCATATTGATCATTTGGCTGCCATGAAGTCAAGTTTGGGAAGTCATACAGCGGATACTTTCCACATATACTTTGTCCGGAAGTACATTCCTACATCAAAGCAACCAGAACTTTAGTAGTCCATACAAATAACCAGAGTGGAAACAGGAGTCAATTCATAGAACATAGAACAACATTACTACCTTTGCAGGATCAAGAATCATATTCTGGGACATACAGAGGTTTGCAGCATTTGTTCCCATTGCAGACTCGCACTCTCCTATTTGTGTTGTCTGATAAGGAGAATTGATAGGAGTTGAATAGTTGCTGTCATTGCACGTGTATGTAGTTTGAGTACTTGGCATGTCATCAGAAAGGACAAGGGGTTCATTTGAGGTTACTGCTGAGGTAAAAGCTTCATTGCTAGAACTGCATTCATCCTGTTTAGATGTTGTTTCTCTGCGAACATCACTTGTCTTCGATGAAATGTCCTTTCTCTTAATGACACGACAAAGAGCAAAAGGCCCCTGAAGATGTTTAAATAGTACTTATATCATGATCAATTTCTTGCAGGTTTTCATTAAGTTGAAGAACTTTACATTCTGATTTGTCAAAGTTACCTGGAAACTTGGAGTGCCTTGTGAAACATCATCACATAGACGATATTCATGCATCACCCAATCAGTTCTATCCCCTAGAGGAGCTCTTCCGCGATAGAAAACTAGTGTCTTTCGGTATCCAACAACTGCAGGCTTACAGACAACTTTCCTGTCTTTCCCTGTGGCTTTCCAGTATCCACATTTTGTGGCTCGATTAGTTCTCGAGCCATTCGGGTACTTCTTGTCCCGAGGACAGAAGAAATACCACTCCATGTCACGCTTTGGCAAGAAAGATTTCTCTGCATCTCAAAGACATGATATCAGTATCCAAAAATACCAATATCAGAATAAGCATTTTATGAACCAACTAAAACAAGAAACTTCTGATGCCTTAGACATGTTTTTCTTTTTGATATGTGGCTAGGGTTTGAATAAACATAATAACTATCTTTTATGTGTGAAAAGAGAGATGCCCCACAGATCACTTCATCTTGTGACAAGGCAAAAAGATTAGATAAGCTATAAAGCAACAACTTTCCAGTAACAACTCATTTCAAATACACTCTTTCTCAGAAATATATCTAAGACCATATATATGATTTGTAATTCATCAAAAAAATGGTTCTCACTGCTTAGGTAAGTTTTCAAGCTGATCAAGAATGTATATATATACCTGGAAGCTCCCATGGGTCAAATTTGTACAAGTCTATTACTGGAATGACCTCCAACTCAATCTCAAGTTCATCAGTTTTCCTTTTCAGGTAATATCCAACCAATTCCTCATCAGTAGGATGGAAACGAAATCCTGGAGGTAGTGATGTTCCTCCCATAATATTAAATGTACCAAAGTCCTAACTACACACAAAATCTTCTAAAACTAGCTAGAATTGACCAGGCAGAAACTTCAACAGAAGTTAGAAGCAATGTGAAATTTAGCTAAGTGCCCCTACTGTACCTATTGAAAATTTGAAATATCCAAAAATAAAAACTTTTGGCTACACTACATTTTGTCTCAAGAATTGCGATAATTTTCCATAAAATGCACCCTTGGGACAGCACAATCATTTTCTAGGAAAAACTGTTCAAAACTGCCTTTCTTGCAAAAAGCCCCCCTCCCCCACCAATATTTCTTTGAGATTGGAATTCAAAGGAAACTCAGGTGGAAAGGTAGAAAATGCCACCAAATGTCACTATATAGTTGTTGAATTTTTTCAAAGAAAGGATCTTTTCTAATACCAACAAGCCTAAACAGTTCAAAAATGACAAATGTGATGAGTTAGAGTGATCTAAATCGAAAAACAGACACCAGATAAAGGTTTATACTAAGGTATACTTAGTTTAGAGTCTATAAAAAGAGGAGAAGTTTGTGTAGAGTAAAAGCAGAGGAATGTGGATGAGCTTTTATAGGAAATGAAGAGGCCAAAAGTCCAAAAATATGAAAACCGAAAGGTTTGTAGCTTGTCTAATGTCTAGGCTACACTAAATTCTACAAAAAAGACCCCACCAAAACCAAGACCTGATTCACACTAGAAATAGTTATATCCTGCAAAAGCAACCACTACCGACGGTTATTCCCTCTTGTCCATAATGATGGACACTTTTGTTCTTTAATTTTTGTCCAAAGTGTCATTTTACATAATTAAGAAAAAAATAATTTTATTTTTCTAAAATTTGCCCTTATTTACATATTTTAATGTGTCAAGGTAATAATTAATTAAGAATAATTTAGTGAATACGTCTTTTTTTTTATGAGTTCGTATTTTCTTAATGGGCGTGTCAACATCTAAAAAATCACTTATTATGTACCGAAGAGAATAAAAATTTGCAGGGGACTTGAGCATCCTGGAGTTCCACAGACTATTAATTTAAATGAAACTACATATGGACAGTAAGAATTCATATAGTCCATCTTAACTTACTTGGATTAAGACATAATTTTATGTTTTTTTTACATTAGTATTAGGCTGTAAAATATTCTTACAAATAAATTAGTTAGAGGTGAAGATGAGCTTTGGCGTAACTCGAAAGTTGTTGTCATGTGATCAGAAGTTTACGGGTTCAAGTCGCGGAAACAATCTCTTGCAGAAATGCAGAGTAAAGTTACGTACAATAGACCCTTATAATTCGGTATTTCCCCGAATCCCGCACATATATTTTATATTTGTGAGAGGTCTTTCTCTAGCTAATAGTCTTGAAATCATGTGGTCTTTCCACATCATCATGAGTCAGACAAAACTACTTTTGCTTTGATTTAATGGGAGTGATTTTGTCATGGTATGGCCCAGTGTTCGAAAGGAAGAGGTTCTTAAAGTGTTTGATGAGCTTATTCACACTTTTGTGTAGTCACCAAAGAGTACAACTTAGTGGAAACTCTTCTTCTGATGTTTTTCAATTCACTTTTTTTCTTCAATCAGATATCACCGCAGGGACTTTGAATTCACATTCACTTGGTAAAGTTGCAAAAATCTGATTACATTTTATATTTGTATTATTATGACAGGGTGAGGAATAAGGGGTGTAAAAATGAAACCGACAAACCGCATCAACCCGATAATTCGAGTCAAACCGAGAAAAAAAACCGATTATGGTTTGGTGTTGGGAAAAAATCCGATCATATTTGGTATGATTTGGTTTTAACTAAAAAACTCAAACCGAAACCAAACCAACCCGACATTATATGTATAGAAGTTTTAAATATATTTAATACATAAAAATATTTATTGTAGTTTATAAATATTTCTTAAGCTTTTTCAGAGTTTTATATTTTAACATATTTTTTCAAGTCTGGGCTTATAACTTTTGGATGCTCCAATAAGTTTTATAGTCCATAAATGTTAGTAAATCAAATAAATCCTAAAACAAAATCAAATCAATACTAATGCTAATAAAACATTCAATTCAATTGTACTATAAATGAAAATAGTGTTGGGTATCTATTTTGTAGTTTTTCGATGATTTAGATAAAATATATAATTTTTTTTTTTTTAGTTGTTAGTCATACTTATTAGTCGTAATTTTAATTATGTTTGTTTTCATTATGGCTTATTAATAATATTTATTTTATACAATTTTATTATCTTTATTGTTGAATATTTTAGTACAATGTTATGACTCATCTCATATTTATGTTATTTTATTGAACCTTATATAGTTCTGTCTTACTAGGATTAAAGAAATATTTGGAGCACAAATTTTATGTTTTGTGCTAAGAAAACTTTAAGGAAAAAAATCCAAAAAATCCCAAAATCCGAAAAATCCGAGAAAAACCTAGATTAAAAAATCCAATTTTTATTGGTTTGATTTGGTATTTAATTTAATAACCCGATACAATTGGTTTAGTTTGATAATTAAAAAATTTGAATCAACTCGACCTATGTGCGAGAAGTGTGAGGACGACTAGTCAAAGACTTAGCAGAAAAACAACTCCATTGGTTGTGAGATAGAGTATTATAAAGTGACATGGTAAGTTAAACGTTGCAGCCAATACCAGTGTGATCCCCATTAACTTATTGGTTTTGGCTGTGTATAGCCTTAATTTAAATAAATAATAACCTTTTAGGATGGTCCCCTACTCGCATTATCCTCAAAAAAAGGTGCAGATTCTGAGATTAACGTGATCTCATAAGATTTACTTGCTTTAATCCTTTTCACACTGAAAAATGAGATATATGAGACATGTCAGAAATTGTTCTCAAACTGTAGTCTGAAGTACATTTATGATAACAACAATTCAATCTCAGACAAACTCTAATTACGCACTTCACTATTAGAAACCGTTAAGAATTCATTGAGAGGAAACCGTTCTTGTTAAGTTCCTGCTTAATTTCATTTGGCTAAATTTCACACATCGTCGTATAATTATGACTTATTTTTATCAAAGTCATATTATTATGCTTTCTCACACAAAAATTATATAACTTTTACTAACTCACAAAAAAATTATAGTGACTGAAAAAGACAACTTTTCAGTAGTATTTTATTCTACAGTTTTTTATTTTTTATTTTCAGTCTTATAAATAATAATCTAATTAAATTAGCAATGAACAAACCGACCCAATATATGTACTATATTAAAAACGCAAAGGCCTTTAGAAAAATGTCGTTCGCATTTTTTATCCCTTAATAATAGATTTTACATTGGATAAAATTATAATTTAATTATTTTTCCTAATATTTAGACTTTGAAATCGGCTAAAATTTTGATTTTAAATCTTTCCTTATTTGAAATAGGTAAAAACTCCTATTATTTAGAATTCAAATAATACGTATTTTAACTTTATGCATTGTGGAATTTATAACTTGAAAAAATATACTTCGACAGATAGTTATCTTATTCAAGTTAAAGAATGCTAGGACGATTCTATAAATTGAACTTAAGCTCAAAGTAACCAAATTACAGTTGTCTATGAAGTTCTAATTATCAGTGTTTTAACATAATTGTTTTCCAGTAAAAAAATATTTTCGAATAAAGTGCACTCCGCATGTCAAAGGGAAACAAATATATTTGAACGCAAAGTAAAGTGCATTGCTCTCAATGAAATTAATGATAAATTATATAGGCAAAGTTTCAGCTAATCTCAAAGTCTAAAATTACAACTTTATGCAACTTGGAGTTATATAATGAGTCAAAACTATTTTTATTGTTTGCTAAATGGTTGGTAAATACACTCAGTCCAACTATCATTCTAAACATGCACATGACGTCCATCTATTAGTCTAAATATACACACTATGTTATTTTTACTATAAAAAATACCCTTACGTTTAACAACAAACCTGGTGGGCCTTCAAAGTAATGCATTGGCATCTTTTTACTAGGCCACGTGGCACTATTATCCAAAAATCAAATTTGAATTTAATTTCGATTCATTAACCGGATCCTACCCTAATTTTTGCTATCATACCTATTCCCACTCATCAGACCGCACCCTTTCTTTTTCTCCGGTCATAAACCCATCTTTGGGAAACGAACATGCCAAGAATCAAAGAAGATATCGAAAATGCTGGACCCTCCATCTTCAGCGATTGTCCATGTTTTCTCTCACTTTTGCAATAAACTTACATAGATGGAGGTAGCATAAGCATCAAGCACAAGCCAAGAAAATATTAATAGTGTTTGTCGTTCATATTTAAAAGATTTTGGTCATGTTCATGACTACTTGTCGATGCTGGTTACCATTTTCTACAAGGAGATCCAGTGGTCGCCATCACCGGTGGTGGAGGAATGATGTCGGCAGTAGCACCCTGAAGAGAGAGAGAGAATCACGGTCCAATTTCCCCTATAGGCCGTGATGGCGCCCAACATCATCGCTAGCATAAAGTGTCTACTAGCATTTTCCTAAGACCCGGTGTCACCCTGAAGAGAGAGAGAGAGAGAGGGAGGGAGAATCACGATCCAATTTCCCCTATAGGCCGTGATGGCGCCCAGCGTCGTCGCTAACATAAAGTGTCTACTGGCATATTCCTAAGACCCGGTGTCACAAGTGTATGAGAAACTAGTAGAATATACAAACCACTTATGCTACTGTCTGAAATAAGATTGACAGAAAGTAAATACAAAAGAGAGGTAGCAGATGCTGCAGAACACGCTCAAAAAGCAGCACACCACTATGCCTCGGGGTAACAGGGGTGCGCGCTTGAATGACTGCCAGATGCACCTGCCTTAGATCCTGTACGATTAGTGCAGAAGTATAGCGTGAGTACATAAACAACATGTACCCGGTAAGTATCCAGTCTAACCTCGAAGAAGTAGTGACGAGGGATCGACATCGACACTTACTATGGGCCAAGAAATAAAATACAGAAATTCTAAATAGGCATGGAATATGTGAATAATAATTATAACACAATAGCAAGCAATGAATAAATGATTCTTTAACTGATAGTCAATTTAAAGATCTCCAACTAACACATACTAACTCTAGCAATTTCTGGCAAATAAATAAATTATAACCTCTCAAGTCATAAATATAATATCAAGTGTAATCGGGCTCCAAGCATTTTCACACACGATTTATGTCGAGGTCGTACGACCTGATCCAGAATAATGTGTACACTGCCGAGGGTCGAACGACACGAACCATAGATGCATCTATTATACTGCCGAGGCGTTTGACCCGCTCCACAAGAAGAGAGAATACTCTATGAATATCCGATTTAAGAGCTATCACAAGACTAATACACAAGGAGGCACAATTTCTATTAACGGTTAGGTAACCTGCCAAAACTCAAAGTAAGTGAAATTCGGTCTTTACGAATCTTTTATCAAGTTTCAATATAATTTAGGCACTTAAATTAACAAGTATAGTGCAAACAATACAAGTATTTCATGATTTGGGTCCTAAAACTACCACGACTTAAGCATGATTTGTAGCTACGCACG